CTTTATTAGGCTGAAGCCACACTACGACAAAAGATGGAGCTGATTTATTTTATTATTGCACTCGTGCAAAATAAAGATTCTGAAAGAAAGAAAAACTGTGCGTCGCCAAGGGCTTTACGATAAAAAAAGTTTGGGATGTCTTGATAAAGTCGCAAGTCGTAATTAACTGTTTTTTTTTTATTTCAACTATATCACTGTTAGACTTTTTCAATTATTTTAATCTAGGTTCTAACTTATAACTCTAACTTCGTTGGAGTTTCCACGGAAAGCCCCTGTTATCTTCTGTATTTCTATTTTATAAATTAAAAGAAAAAGTTAACTGTACTTACTTACTGTACGTACAGTAGCCATTATCATCATCATTCAGCCTATAGATTTATACCTAGATATAAATAAATAAATACAGTTTAAACCTAAATACAGTTCCAACAGTTGCTGTAGTTCTTACTATGAATTTCAAATGCTTTGGTCCTATTTCGATTTAGACCCCATCTCATAAGAACGCGGCGCACTGTGGCAGACAAGGCGAAGAAGATCGGCAAGACTTGGAGCGAGATCAAACGCGTAGCTCAAGTCCGAACGCGATGGAGGACTGTTGTGGACGCCCTTTGCCCCATCTAGGGGACATAGGACCATAAGTCAAGTCATAAGAAAGATATCGCGAAGATAGTGTCGCAGTGTGGCCAAAGCATTAGGAAAGCGTGACATAGAGTTAACGCGAGCAGTTGTCCAACTGGTTTTGTTTACCGGCGTTTAAACTAATGTGTGTTCTGTGTCGGACGTGTATCGACATGCGATTTGAAAGCCAATCTGATCTTAGATCCTTTTGTTTAGTTATTTAAATAGTATGAAAGTAAATAAATTATGTACTAAGGCCGTACAGAAGTTACATACAACTGGATAATTATCCAGATAAAAGTGAATTATGTAATAATTTAATCTATTTCGTTGATCAACTTATACAAAGAATTGAAATTGATACAAATATTTAAAACACCTTTAAAAAATTAAATGGAATTTTTCACACGAACGAAAAATTATCTATGAAATCCTACCTACTTAATTTAGTAAGTATACTAGGTGTTAAGATTTAAATATTTTAGAATAAACATTCATTATCTAAGTCTGACGGACTAAATAGAATTTCTAATTATTACCGAGGCATCATCCTAATTACAAAATATTCATCATATCTTTTAATCACATCTGTAGAAGAATTTATTAGAATTATTTAGAAAATGTGCGTGTCTATTCATCTTATACTCGTACATTACTTGTACCAAGTAGTCACTAATTTCTTAATTAGCTAGAATTTAATCTAGGAAGGCTGAAAATCTAGATCAAGTGGTTAATACCAGTGATTCTAAGTTTGAGGAAGGCTCAGTGGGCTACCCGGTCGGTTCTAGTTAGTAACGGGAGTTCGAATAGTTACTAGTTAGTCAACATGCTTTAATAACAACATGTGTGTTACTTGCCGTAATCTTAAAGATTTTTCTTGTAATATTATTCGGAAAATGGTAGAGAAGGGATGCTAATAGAACTTTTAATTGCAATGCTAATGAACCCTATCCTATCAGATTCGCAGCATCCTTTGATGGCTGACACCTAGTCTACTGTGACTTTAGTTGAGCCTGACCAAGCTAATTCGACAGAAAAAGCAAAAGACAACGATATACAATTAAATTAAGCTTCAAGTTTGTAAATAACTAAATGATAGTTTTATCCAATAAAGGAATATTGGTACATAAGCATAGGTAACCTTATTTTATGCTACAAATACTTTACCTCTAATTTAATCCCATTGAAAAAGGTTCAATGATTTTTAATAAATTTAAAGCTTATTACAGCTAGAAATGCATGTTTTGGATAGGTACAATTTATTGGTTGTATCTAAGTTTGGAACTAGTGGGTTTTTGTCTTCAATCACTGGGGACTTAACTGGTAAATACATACCTACACTAAAAGAACGCATGGATATCCCAAAATAGCTAAATGCAGTTCCAACTAAAAATCCGCGACATTTTCCACAAACCCCGGCGCTGTTCATAACTCACAGGTTACGCGAGATGACAAAAACACGAAGCTCCTGGGATTGTATTTTAAGCATTTACGAACTGAATGTGTTTCGAATAGTGGGGTAAGTTCAGGGCAGTGTGGGTGGAGTATTTAAAATTCTGCTCAGATGTCATATGTCGGCGTTGCTGTGACCATGGTTTGAGTGAAAAGTTGGATATCTAAAGATTTCTTATATTAACTATGACTTTGCTAGTATTTGTAATTTAGATCTTTATTTATTCTCCCAAGAGTTAAAATTATCTTACGTGAGAGGATTACAGTCGGAGAGTAGTATCACTTACCTAAAAATATTTTAATAACCTGTTTTTACATCTTTACTTATGTATTTTTATGAATTGTGACTTACTGCTACTAATAGATCTGAGAATCTTTCACATTAATATCCGATCCCAAACTTGAGAAAACTAATAATTATGTCCTACTTATTTGAATAGCCTCTAATAGTTTAGGTCTACTTAAGTAGTTAAGTACCTTAAGTACTATTCGCCAATAAGCTTGAAAGCATTTGAAATATTCAAGCAAAAGCCATCTGCCCAACCTCGGGTACCTACTTACATTAAATAAAGTACTTAGTCGAATTGAGGCTATCTAAAAGCTAAAGTTGGTACTTTGTAATTAATATTCTAGTATCATCGGTCGACAATAAAATCCATTGAAATTCCAACGTAGTTCCAAATTTTACTTAAGCCCTTTAAAGAACTTTATTAACTTTTCATTCGTTTGTGAGGTTGGCTAATTATTTTTTAGAATACTAGAAAAAAAGGTCACGGGCTGAGTAAAAAGTTTTTTTTTTTTAATTTGAATCAGGTCCAGTTTTACCATTACGTGATTAAGTTTCAAATAGTTAACAAAAAAAGTCATTACGATACCTAGAAACTTGAAACAAGTTAACTTGTCACTTTATCTGTCCGATATCGTTATCTGAAATCTGGGTTGCCAAAAGTTGTAGTTTATCTGATAAAAAATCAGAATTTTCTATTATCTATATTCTACATGATTTAAATACTTGTTTTTCCCAAATCTTGGTCACCCTACTAGTCACGTCTCCTGCCTTGTGGATGTGTAATGCAGATGTGGAAATAAACAGGGTGTAACGCGGGACATGCTGTAACATCTCCCTGTTATAACAAGCATGCTTCGGACGTGATCTTGTTTTTCTCGGAAATTAAGTTGGCTCCTTGTAGAAAGATATGTGAGGGTGAGGGTAGACACGTGTTTATTATCTAAGTTGTTAGGATAAAGGTGTTGAATGTTGGCATTTCTGCAGAAAAATAAAAGTAGCAGACTTTTTTTTTTCAATATTAGTATTTTTAATTGCTAAAATTACTAATAGTCCCGTTAGCCCCTCGTACTAAGTATTAAAAGGATTGCATAGTCAACAGTCAACATCAGACGACAACATAGTCAACATCAGTTAATACATTTTTATTGTAAAGTAGTTAATTGGTTATTCTGATCACCACTTCTTAAGATGTTGCATTGTTTAGCCTGCTACCTGATTTACTATTCTTCTTTTTGTTGTGTCGACAACAAACTTATACAGTGTCAGCCCAAAACTCCACTACAAGAGTGGCGTTGTCAGTAGTGTTCATATCTTCCCGCGTGCAGTTGTTTGGACACGCAGGGCACGACATCATATTTTATGCTTCATCAACTGGTTTATTTGATCCATGGGTAATAATTCGACATGACGCGATAAAGAGAAGTTGGATGTTCTCAAATTTAAAGATTAGCATGTAATTTTATCAAAGAGTTATATACGTTTTATTATCTTAAACCAAAAAAATACAACCAGATAATCAGACTTTTACCTTTACCTACGTGGTTAAAGACTAGTGTAAGGTTTTGTTCACTTCTTATGCACGAAATCAATCCATCCGGTTCGTTGTTTACTAACTACCAAAAAAAGCCGTGAAAATTGCTAATTAATGTTGTTGTTTAAGCTATTGAACAACAAGTTTTGTCCGGCGCGCTCATGTGAACTGAAGCATGCTCATTGTTCTGACAGCTGCTTTCGCCACTGATGACTCGAACTCGAAATTAATTTGGCTCATTGAAAATTGTCAGCAAAACTACTAGTAACTGATTCCTAGTATCCCTATATCTAGGTATAGAGATCTAGCTTCCACTGTGTATTCGAGGAAAATTATAGTTGTTGAACGTACTCGGAATTCAACAGAAAATACTGAGAGAAATTGAGAGACACGGGTCTCAACGTGATATTTTTCTACCTACAGGAGTATTGAAATAAAACGCGCGTTTTTAAATATTACAAAAAAATATTTATTTTAGTTATTTCTTTAAATGCTTTAAACTCGCATAACATAGGTATTATAGCACTTATCTATTATTTATTCATAGAGGCTTTTCTATATTAAAAGCATTTTCTAACTTCGTTCGAAGGGAATACGGAGAAATATGAACTAAAGTGTAACTTACATCGTCCTGGGAAATAAGAGATTTGTTTGTTGTTCCGAAGTTTATCTTGTTATGAACTAGTTATTGAAACAGTTTAGCTTGGGTGTAGGTATTTTGAGAATTTTCAGGGAACAATTAAATAAAATAAAGATGATTATTGAGATTAATGGGGTTGGATAGCTTTGTGTTAAATGCCTGAGTAACTGAGTAGGTATACTAAGCCATGTAAGGAAACCTTTGACATTGTAAACAAAATCGTTGAACAATCGAAAAGCTGGCTACCTCGCAGATAAAAAGGAACGTAATAATATCCCAGATCCCAGATCGTACAAACATATTTAAATAAAAATAAGAAAATTAAAAGATCTACCTTTATCCTTAATCTCATTTGTTAATAAAAAGATTCGCTGCTAAATTCCTACTAAATAAAAAACAAATTCTAGCCTTAGGTAAAGACACCTTCTTACCTACATAAGTAATTATAAATAAAATGAAATTGCTCTTACCTTGTTTTAGATGACGCCCAGCGTTTATTCTCACGACACACACTTTTTACACACACAAAAGTTATTATTAACGTATTTCACAACCACTCCGTATCATATCATAACGCGACTAACATTTGATAAAGAATTAACAATATTTCATTATGTAGGTAGACACTTATTAAAATATTTATCACTACCTACATGATTAAATGTGAATATCGATTGTATTCCCAACAATTTTATCGTCTAATCTGCTCGATGCTTTGTTCGGAAATATAATATCTCGCTGTCTAATAAGTCAGCGAACATTAATAATAATAATAATAATAATTTATTTATCTCTCACACACATAACATCAATTACATTGATATTTACATTTCGATGGCTCCTACGTATACTGGCGTAAGTGAAAAAAGTAAATTTTACAGGAGAGCCATTTTAGTGGCCAGAACCATATTTTTGGGTCATATCTTCTGACCTACTAAAACGAATTTAATGAAATTTCACATTTAGCCTTAACATGTAATGCTTTTGCTACTGCTGTTATCAATTTTTATATTTTTCTTATATATTTTGAGATTTTACGCATTGCCCTTTTACGTCGGCATATTTCTATAATTTCATGTATATTGTTCAACGTAAAGAGACTTAAATGACAACATAAATATACCTAATATTTTAAGCGATTACTCTCTTTATTTATGCATGTAATTATTTTAATTGTTATCATGTGCTATATCAATAATAAATCAGTTAGAAAAAGTTGTTTAATGTATCGTTATTACGTTTTAACGCAAATACGCCCATATACTGTGCTCGAGGTTTAGTTAGGTCTTTTAACATAATGTGTCATATTTTTAAAAATTATAAAAACTTGAAAAAATCCAACTGCCTAAGCGGGAATTGAACCCACGATGCCTTAGGCAGTTCGATTTTTTCAAGTTATTTATAATTTTCAAATTAGTTTGAGATGCGACTCTTAACGCTAAAAATTAAATAACTATATAATGTGTCATAATTTATAAATAAAACAATTTGCTAAATATTTTCATGGCTTTTTTTAATATTTGGATTATAAAAAATATGTATTTATGTAAGCAACTACTCGTATAGATTGACGAATCGTATGATTGGGCTTTATACGTGGCGTAGTTTTGCACATACGCCTATTTGCCTAAAATTTTATTTTGTATCTAATGAAAAAAAAAATTTTTTTTCTTACTGACGTTATAGATTAGAGCAAAATGAAATCATTGCTTAAATAATTGGAAAAAGGCGTAAGCGGCAGTTTCGCCTTTATACGTAGGAGCCATCGATTTAAGATGTTACACAATATTTATATTTAATTAATTAATCCTTAATTATGCTACACTGTGTGTGAGAGACAAAACTACCCACAGTTATGCGAAACAGGAATATAAATTACAGTACTGTTGCATATCTTATATCACCACTTCTCACAACTGAGGAGTTTCTGCGAAAACTGGATTGAAATCGAATGAAGAATGGTGAAGGGAAAAGTATAGAAATAGTCCTCAACGCAATTTAAATTAGCACAGTTCTCGCTTCCTACTTACACTATGAAATTAAATCTAAAAATATTATTTTGAGCCTACCCACAGAAAGATAAATAATAATAATTGTCAATCATTTTATGAGTAGTCAAACTACTCCCATAGATTAATAATAAGGCAATAAAAACCTATGACGGTACGTCCATGGAAATTTCTTTTTCGCCATTAACTTTTGATTTATTAAAAACAATATAAATTAAAAACTGCCTATTTGTATAGTTTAGGTTAGGTTGCTACATTAACATTTTTTGAAAAATTGTACCCTTGCTTGTTTTTACTTTACTCTTTGACTTTCTTACTTTTATAGATCCAAGATTTTGAAACGTCAAGTGGAAAAAACCAAAAACTAAACCCAGTATTGATATTAGCGCCCTCCGGTAATGCCATATTGTAAGGTTGTCTAACGTGGCCAGAATCGGAACCAGCGATCCGGTATAGACGGTGGCGCCCTCTGTCAATGTCACGGGTGGGATGATTCAGGGTAGGACATCTTTAATGTTTTTTTTAGCGGTTTTGTTTAATCTGCTTCTTCGCTCCAATCGTTATCCAGCAAAGGGAAGTAAATTGAAAGGCGTATGATCGACGAGAAAAAACTCGTGCGCATGTGGCATGACCACGCTCTGAAGCCATAAACATAGGATGCAATAAACTGCATCGATTAAAGATTTATAGCGGACGCCAACTATTTATTTTAAACGAAATGCACACAAAGTTGCAATATTTTAATATTTAGCGTTCAACTAAAACGTTGTGCATATTTTGTAGAAATATTTCAAAATTCAGCAGGCATCTTTCCAAAAGCTTTTATAAAGGCCGTTACTCCATTATTTCGGCGATACCCAAAAGCCGTTGTTTATCGTGGCACCACGTTTTTTTTATTGATCGACTAACGGTAATTTATAGAATGTTCGCAGCCTTCGGGAACAGACGTGTGAAATTAAACGCCTGTGCGTGATGTGGTATCATAAAGGAAGGGTTACTAAACTATAAGCCGGGGTAACGGACCTTGCGTCTTTGTGCAGATCGCTTTTTGAGTTAAGATAGCTTTTAGAGCGAAATCGGAACAGTAAGTAATGAAAGAGAAATTAATTATTATTACATTACTAACTGCTTTTCATCGATGATTTCTACCAATGCAGAGTGCCGAATTATCATGTCGTCCACTAGGATCGTTTTACCATGAAAAAGATAGCGATACGGTAATGGATATTGATTTATTCGGCCGGCAAATCATTTTGAGATTTAGAGAACGTCATGTATCACATTCAATTAAATCTTTTGTTCTCTCAAATGAGCAGAAATGTGGTGTAGTACAATTGCAACGCTACAAATCGGGCCCCAATCCCGCGTAATGCGTGTTTAGCGTTAGCGCCATTATTAGCCTACGGCCGATAATTCAGCCATAACAGGAATATTCCCCGAATCACGAGCTCATCCCATTATATGCACATTGAGATCAAACTTCGATGCATTCTGGAACCTATCACAAACGTCCACGGTTCAAATTACTTCGATAGTGCTTGAATGGAAATGTCTGCACTAAAGGATGCATGCACCCATTAACAAGGCGTTATACCTACTTGTAAATAGATTACCTTATGGCGCTCTGTCAAGCCATTATCTCAGCCGCGGATTCATAATAGGGAAGAGCAGGAAATTTTAATTGCTGTGTTGAATTTCTAAGTGGCCAGCGAATGACGTGATTTTCACCATAAATGTTCCAGCTTCTACTTTGTAACAATTTTAAACATGCCACAAAACTAAAAGAAAAAATGAATGTGCTTCGTTCTAATGGAATAAAAGATGTCACTAGCTATTTTTTAAATGTTTAATAATACTCTTACATCGTCTTTGTATCTAAATACAATATTTACAAACTTATCTATAACTAATTAAAATAATGTCACATTATTATTTTGTGTCACTGTTACCAACATTATCAAATTTCTCGTCAAAACCGTCTTGGCAGTATAAAAGGCAGTGTTCAAGCTGATTTGAGTATTCAGTTATCAGTATAATCGAGTAAAAAAGCTTTACAAAACTACTTACGAACTAAGAGATAATATAGGTATCTATCCAATGAATCCCAAATATACACAATACTTTTTAAATTTTGTAGACTCTTTTCTTTGAATCTCTCTTTTTATTGAATCTCTTAAGTCTTTTCAAAGTTATTTTTTGGAAATTTGTATTAAATTTTTCTTTTCAATTTTATTTTCTTTTAAAGAAAATAATGACATCATTGTGTATCTTTGGGAGACCAAAATTTACATTACCTAAAATATAATTTAACAATAGATAAAATACACCTATTTCGTCGAGAGTAAAGTACAAGAAAATTTACATTATATCACACGAATCCCGTCTGCTATCTGAGACAACCTAACGAACGCCAATAAATAAAGTAATTTAGTTAAAGAGGTCTCGTAAGTACTTAAAATATTGGTGGTGGATATTGAAACGTGATTAAATTAACAAATTTTGTTAATAGCTATTCCTCAATATGATTGAAAAGCGTTAACATTCATAAACATATCTACACTCATATTAATTTCTGTTCAAGTTTGCAGTTATAATGTCATCTATATAAAATGTGATGTTTTGAACCCTGTTTTGAATTTCGTTATTTATCAGTTAAATGTGATCTGTGTCATATCATATTCCATAAATTACAATAAAAGGTGAGTTGGTTGTATAGTTTACTGAAAATAAAGCAAACATGAAGAGAAAATTGTTAATTCCTATCTGATGGAAACCATTACCTAAGTCTATCGTTTAGCGGCCGGTGCTTGCGTGTGCTGTTGGCAGCCTTCGACATTCTCAGGCCAATCGCAGACGTTCTCGTTAGGGTTGAAGACGAGGTTGGAGGGGCATGGCATGTGGTGTTTCCTCTCACCTTCGCACATGTAGTACATGGTGCAGTCAGCGTGATCCTTGTGGTAGGATATGTGGCCATCTTCTTCCTCGCAAGTTACTTCGTGGGCTGAAAAAAGCTTTTGAGTTAGCCGAAATTTGTCGTTTATGTGAGGTGCATTATTTCTGGTGGTTATTTTTAAACAAGTTAAACTTACTAAAGTTTACATTCTGACTACAGAATAAACTTTGTCTCAAAAAATTAATTTTACGTCACATGAACCCATTGGCCACACAATCATAATGAGGGCTATCGTTTTAGCGCTCACCAGTTAGCGCCACTGTAGAGTAAGGTCCTGTCACTTGCTAGTCGCGAAGACAGTGGCACCAACTGGTGAGCGCTAAAGTGGTACGAGGACTATCGCATTTGCACTCATCAAGATGGCGCCACTGTAGAGTAAGGTCCTGTCAATCGCCAGGGGTGCCAACTGTTAAGTATAAAAACGATAGCCCTAATTGAATTAACTTCAATGAATTGGATGAAACATCCCTGTAATTTAACCCTCGCTGTACGAGGTGGGGTGTGACACACCCCAGGCCTTTAAAAATCGCCATAATTTTAAAAATTTGCTAGTGCTGAATTTGAAATTCTCAGTAGCTGGAATTATGGCGCTGCTGCTTCGATCAGCGCTGCAAAATCAGTCCAGCGGTGACTACCAACTGAGTTACATGCCTTTAAAGTGCGTGTGGGTGTCACACACCCCACCTGGTACGGGACGTTGTTAAAAAAGTTAAAAAATAATTTAACAGTTTTGGTATAATTTATATATTTTTAGCTTTGTTAATTGAATAAAATTCAATACAAATAATATTTTTCGTAATTTTCACGGAATCTGAAATTTTCAAGCACTTTTAGTCAAATGAGATGACTTTTAGTGCGAACCTGGAAGTTTAGTACTGAGATCCGAAGATGTATGTGAACATACACTTATGGGCTACAATTTATACTTGGTGATACAATTTATGGGCTACTGAAATGGAACAGCATATTTTATAAATAAATAAAATTGTTACGCTCCCATTTTATGCATTGAGCATACTCATTTTCTTTCATCAGAATTGTAATAAATTAAAAACCGATAATCAAAATAAATTTATACCCTTCCAGTTTTTAATTTACTTTTAAATTATAAGTAAATATCTTGTACTTTGTTAAATAAAACGGTTGTCATAATTAAAGGCACTAATTAAAAATTATACATAAGAAACTGATTCCTCAATTACAAGAACAACGGAAATTGTGTCTTTTTGTTATTTTATGATAAAAATGTTATAATACACATTTTCAGCTCAGAGCTTTTCATACACCTAATTAGCATACGTAAATAATCAATATTAAATATTAAATTCCACCTAAAAAAATGTTCGATGAAAATTTTATCACTTTGTATATTGGGGTATGTCATACCCCACCTGGTACGGGACGTAACTTTTAGTCACCTCGTACACGGAAGGTTAATGTAATAAAGTTCAGCATTTTAATTAATTACTTTGGTAAAATTAATTAATATTAATTAAGTTTGACAAACTTACGATCTTTCGTAGTGTATTGTCCAGTAGGGCTAGATGACTCGTAAGGTCCGTCGTATTCAAGTTTGACCTTGTAGCCGGAGAGTTCTTGCTTCATCGCGGTGATGAGAGGGTATTTGCCAGTTCCGCAGGAACCACGGAAGTCATCCATGTCCACTGACCAGACCATGATACCACCGAAGCCTTCTTCCTTTAACCAGGCCATCTGAGAAAGAAATGGCGTTTCAGAATCGCATAGAACTAGATTTGATTTATTTTATCCTTAAAAATAAAAACATCTTGTCCTTATAATCATAAATACCTACTTAATTAAATCAATTATTGAATTCGACAAAAGCTTAACTATTTTCTTCTGTTAAAAATTGAATGGAAAACAGTACCTAGCACAGAAAACTGTCAAACAAGATTCCTATTAGAGCTATTGCAATAGCCTGAGTGATTGAATGCTATATTTACTTTCGAAATCAAAGTGGCGCGATGGCGTATCTATTTTCACAGTATTGTAGCCTTTGTGAGAGCTACAATTGAGTAGATAGATAACTTTTAGTTTAGTAGAAATTACATAGCTTTACCTTAGTTTTCAGTGATCTCTCGTCATCAAATCCGACCCATTGGTCCTCCCTGTAGGCGAAAGGCACCATCTGTTCGTTGTCCCAGACGAGGGTAGTGTTGTCTTCCCGAAGGAACTCACAGATTTCGTAGTAGGACATGAAGCCCGCCTCGTTGGTGAAGCGACCGGCTTGACCTGCAAAAAAAATACACTAAAATTCAAACACTGATAATTACAGATTTTTATCAGTTTCGCATTGACTAACGATCTACCTATAATAATGTCGTTAGTTTTTTTACCATTTGTTTCATACTTTAGGTAATGTAACTAAAAAAAGTTACTAATTACATTCAAATTCAGTTTAAAACCTCTCATGGGATAAGATAATTCATAAGCAGCAAAAAATATTATTTGATTAATGGACGAATGGCGTTTTTAATAACGCTCTAATATCAACTTAAAATCCTACCATTCACTCTGAAGCTCACTATGGAATTTAATCACCAAAATGTAGGTAAAATGTTGAATTTCCTTTTGTAAGCTGTTGGTATCCAATATTTCAGTCAACTCATTAGTCCAGTTGAACGAGAGGAAAATATGAAAATGATATCGCTCCGAAATAAAACTCAATTACACTCAGCCGAAGTCTGTCTGATTAATAATTAATTATTCTCGTTTGAATTACTGCGAATGCTGAATATTTTGGACTGAGATAAAATTTAAGCTTCCTTTCGATTCAATATTAATATTTTTCCACTTACATTAAGTACAGTCAGCGTCAAATAGTCAGTGACACCCAGAGTAGTCAAAAATTTCGCAACACGTCTTTGTTACAATTGGAATAAGGTTGCATTGTCAACTTTTTGGACACTTTGGGTGTCATGAACTATTCGACGCTCACTGTACCTATTAGGTAATTTACCAACAGAATAACCACTAGTCTCTAAACTTCAAGATTCTGAAGTTAGTTTCAGCTTAGAGTCTGTACCTACTTGGAAGTAATGAAATCTTTACGAAGCGTGGATAGTTGGTAACAAGTTCTTGGTAATAAACTTGCGAAGTTCGAAGTACATCTTCGAACTTTTAAATGAGAGCTTTGATACCATACAGATTCTGATAAGGTATTCAGTTGTTGGCTTCAACGAAAACTGTGTTATAAGACGGTATGTTACAATTTAATATTCGTATTTTTCCCTAAAATAACAGTAACTGTAGTATTTCCTCATAAGAAAGATATTTTTTTTATGTGACAGGAGGCAAACGAGCAGACGGATCACCTGATGGTAAGTGATTATCGTCGCCCATAGACACCCGCAGACCCAGGGGCGTTACAGGTGCGTTGCCGGCCTTTAAGGTGAAGATTTAAATTGCTAAATACAATTTTTTTAATGTATTAGAATAAAATATTTGGTTTACATTAGACCGACTTCAGAAACATTCTGATTCAACTCGATGTATTTATTTATGAGTAGGATAGGGTTTACAGCGGACTATCTCAACGTGCTGTATTTTATCGCTAATAAAACTGAGCTGAAGATACTTCTTGGCATGCTATCCATAACTGTGATGGCAAAATATCCGACTAGGAACATTGCCTTTGGTTTATGATACGGAGTTTTGATTTCCACGAATGTAAAAGTTGGGATATCGAATAAAAATGGAATTAAGCAAGATATTGCTGTAGATGTTTACCAAAATTATTTAATTTAGGTCGTCCTACGACAAAGAATTACCTACCTAGTAGTACGTATTCAAAATTCTATATGAGGCATGTCTAAGAATTGAAAAACCTTCAAAAAAGATCATTATTAATTTGGAAAAATAATAAGTCCTCCTACGGGACTATTCCTACCTCTCGTTCCCACCACTGCAACTCCTGTGTAGCCAGGATCTACAGCTTGACCGCCATAAAAACCCAACCAATGAAGGTTAAGTTTGTCCCGGGGGAAAGTTAAATTGTCATTGGACCCGCAACGAAATTAATCAGAAGAACATAGTCCTCATAAGTCTTCCTACGTCAATCACTACTGGAATTATTATATTCCCAACACAACGTATAGGTCTAGCTAGACCTTCATTTGCCTCTGGTAAATTAGAAATGACCGTGCTGCAGCAGTGGAGACTTAAATTACTTGATGATGATGTTAATAATGTTGATGGTAACGATGATGATGACCATGATTAGGTTGTTGATGATGATGAAACAATTGTACTCACCGCCACCAGAAGCCGGGGCCCCGATGTCGAACTGCGTCTCGTTAATGAGCGTGAACGAGTACCCATAGAAAAGCATGTCGATCTCTGTGCAGTGGCGTCTAAAATACTAGACGATGATGATGACGACAATTGATGATGATGAAGTTTGATTTAACCGCCTCTGTGGTCTAGTGGTAAGACCACCTGCTTCAGACGCAGAGGTCCCGGGTTAGATTCCAAGTGGGGGCAGATTTTTCTGTTCGGTTTGGTTGGTGGTAGGGCTTGTTCTAAGTCCGCCTGGCTAGCTAGCACCATCTTACCTAAGTCTGTCGCCATAACAACAATGTTAGCAGCATTGTTGTGTTCCGGCAGTTAGAGGTAAGATAGCCAGTTCCTCCGTGGTTGAGGATTCCGGGTGAAGCTCGCTTCCACCTTCGGCCTGATCATCACTTACCATCAGGTGAGATACAGGCCAAGAGTTTCCTCGTTGTGGATAAAAAATGATAATATAAATCGTACTCACCGCCACCAGAAGCCGGGGCCCCGATGTCGAACTGCGTGTCGTTGATGAGCGTGAAGGACCGCCCGTAGGTGGGCATGCCGATCATCAGCTTCTCTTTGGGGGCGCCTTGGCGCACCCACTCGCGAGCTGAGTAGTCCTGGAAGACAAAGTAGATTTATGCCCGTTTTCACCATCGATCCCTAATTTTTAAGTGATCCAAGAAAACAAAATTCCTATTAATTGTTGTCATAGGGGTCACTTAAAACTCAGGGATTGATTTATGGTGAAAATGGGCATTCGAATATAGTTTTTTTACGGGGCTAAAGAAAGGCCGATTAATACCCGACCCCAATGAAAACAAAGTTCCTGTTATGTGTTACTATAGGGGTCACTTAAAAAATAGGGTTTGATGGTGAAAACGGGCAAAAGAAACGTTTTTACGTTTTTAGAAACCTCTCAATGTAATGAAAATTATTTAAAATTGGACTCTTCAGCCCATCTGGAGTGAAGACAGTATGGGAGTGAGGACGAAATCCTCCTCTGATCAAAATCGAAAAAGACATTTTCCTGCAGTGGAGACCTGACGATGATGCACATTAAGTAGTCTCTTGTCTGATTTAATGAAATCAATGGTATATCTTTTTTCATAACCAAAGTAAGAAAAGGATGTAAATAACGTAGATAAAAATATTCAGAAGGTTGTCAAAAATACATACCACAGTCAGTTTCTTCTGGTAGCTGGTAGCGCTCTCTAGCGGGAACAGCGGGCTGTTGTGGCCTACTTGTCGCTCCCATTGTCCGTGGAAGTCGTAGGTCATGACGTTGATGAAGTCCTGCAACAAATATTTAATTAGAACTTAATTATGGACATATTTCTATACTAAATTAGCATCCTTCTCATAAGCTTTGACTTTAAAAACGTCAGAAGATTTTTTTCCTTTATTTGGGAAGACAAACAGTTATGTTGTAGGAAGATAGTCAGTTTTTTTGTGGTTAGGGATTCCTGGTGCAGATTGCTTCGACCTTCGGCCTGGTCATCACTTTCCATCAGGTGAGATGCGGGATAACTTACCAAGTACTTAGAGATCTCAGGCACGTCATATCCCGCAGCGATGGCTTCGAAGGAGGCTGGCACAGCAGCAGTGAGCAACAGTCTTGGCTGGCCAGAGGTCTTGGCTTCACCTTCGAATGCCAGACGTAGTTCTTTGAGGAGGGAAACGAAGGCTGCGCGGTCATCTGCTCCTCTGAAAATCAAAATTAAGATATTTTAGAATATTTTCTTTAATCCCATTACACATCCCTGGTATGTACCAGGAGTGACTGATAATTATCTAAATATTTTCAACTCTATCTGCCGTTTTTGCTCATTTTAGTGCCTCGCAATCACATACAGAGGGCAGAGAAAAAGGCAAGAAGAAAACAAAATTATATAAGATTTTAAACTTTCGCGTTCCATTTCAACTAAGAGTCGGCAAATGTCGCCTTAAAACCCGTGTTTCTCTATTTAAATAAAGTTTTACTACATGGGAATGAAGAAGAAGACGAACGAGTAAGTTTTATGAGTTAACAACAATAACAATTTCTGTTTATGATTTACTGAGTTACCAAATTGCTGATTACCTTGGGTATTCCCAGTCGACGTCCAGACCGTTGAACTGGTAGTCCCTGAGGAACTCGATGGCTTCGTACACGAACTGGTTCATGCGGAACACGTTGGAAGTCAGTTCTTTGAATGGAGTGGAACCGAAAGCCCAGCCGCCGATGGCTAAGAGGATCTGTAGGGAAAAAGAAAGCATTATTACTTAAACAATTGATCTTCATCATCACCATCATCATCTCAGCCATAGGACGTCCACTGTTGAACATAGGCCTCCCTCAATGCTTTTCATATTGCCCAGTTGTCCACCTTGTGGTGGTACGTGGTCTTATGAGGTTATCTAATTGATGGCTAAATCTCGACCTTAGTTATAAGCCATCAAGCTTTCATGGGCTCTTCTCATTCTTCTCTTTTTCTTATTAGAGAAGAGTTCGGTTGTGAGAAGTCAATAACTTCCAGTTTACACGGTAAAGTACCAAATTCGGTTTTATATCGTAGCTAATGGGCAAGTTTATCGCAATTTACCTTACTAACGGGAACAAGATTATGGTCATTCTGAATAGCTAAGTAAAATAAAATCATGACCTCTATGATAGCTTTGTCAAGAATGTAACGACCGAAAAGAAGAAAGTAAAAAAAAAAAAAAGATCAGTTCTGTAAAATTGTGACTAACCTTCAAGTTGGGGTTCTTCTCTCTCAAGGCGACGACTTTATCGTACATATCGGCGTCCTTCTCGTCAGCTTCGGTCAGCTTGTGGTCCTTGAGGGTGGCGAAGGCGTAGATGACGTGCGTGCAGAGAGTGGGGTCCACGTTCTCGGGCATGAAGCGCCCAGCGCTGGGCCGTTTGGACGACCAGGACGTCAGGTAGCAGAGGACTTGGGGCTCGCGTTCTGAGGAAATAAAAGTAAAAATTAAAGAATGCCTTAATCATCATCATCATCATCATCATCATCATTTCAGCCACAGGACGTCCACTGCTGAACATAGGCCTCCCCCAATGACTTCCACATCGCACGGATCGTAGCGGCCTGCATCCAGCGCCTTCCCGCAACCTTTATCAGGTCGTCGGTCCACCTTGTGGGTGGACGTCCCACGCTGCGTTTTCCGGTACGTGGCCTCCATTCCAATGCCTTAATATAACATTGTTTTTTGTCTTTGGCATTTTTTATGTGCTCGTAGTTTGTTGAACCTAGGCGGAAAAAGCTCTGAGCTCTAAGGGCGTTTGATAGCAGTCTGCTAACAGTCTGCTATCTAACGTAAAATTAATTATATTTTTACTCAGTGGCAGTTCATCGCTGAATGTATGTATGCCTCTCCAAAAGAGAGCTTCACAGATCTTTATTTTTTTTGTCAAATGACTGGTAGACATCTTTTGGAAGTAGTCAGACCATCGATTATTAAGTACTTTTAAGTACTGAACCTTCAATTTTACTTTAGCGGAAAGTTACTACAGTTTAAACTATTCTATGCTACGTTTGTCATTGTCGCTCCTAAGCGAGAGAGTGATTTAGAAACTTTCTCTAAAGTTTTGATACTAAAATTACAAGCGAAACCTAATACTTTCAGTATCGTTTGGCAAAGACAAACTTTTTTAAGGCTTTTAAGTTAAATAAAACGTCCAAATCGCAACATTCACAATTAATCAAAAGACATCATAATCCATTTATATGATAAAGAAACGTTTTGGGAATATTGGCAATCTAGAAAGCCAATTTATCAAACAATCAAAAACAGTTCAATATTCTCTAATTTGAGATTGCTTGAGATTGATGTTTTAATATAATAAAATGTCAATCATTCACAGTCCAAGCACCTACAAAAGTCGTTATAATCTCGGGAAAACTCTCAGAACTCTCATAAATTCTTCGGCCAATAAAAAAGTTGCTGAAAGTTGCAAGGAATCCCGGCGCGACATTAGGAACATGTTATAGCGTGATCGTTTGAAAGGAGCCATAAGAGACGCAAGTTGTGGTAGTCTTGCATAAGCAGTACGGTTTATTCATTAGTATTAAAATGTTTCGTTTAATTAAGATAATTATTATGTGTTCATTGAAAACGCTCATAAAATCTCCCATTTACTGTAATTTGGCTAAAACAGAAGGAAATGTATTTCATTTGTTAACAATCTATTCCTGTGTGGGAATAAACCATTAAAAAAAAATAATTAGTAGAATTAATGGAAAATACGAAATCAATATTGTACAATTTCTGAACCATTCGATAAAAGTTTCAATCTAGCTACATTCGATAAGGTCGGTCTTAATTGAAATACAGTAAATCCTAGAGCTATGGATTTCAGATCAGAATGTCTTAAGTGAGAAGGTAAGTACATACAACGTAGAAGTATTCTAGGAAAATACGGGCTTAAATAAGCCTACTGAATCTCCATTTATTGGGGTATAAGTTGGCGTAGCTACTTGTAAAGATTGCCGCGGATGCTGCGTCATAAACCTGATGGCGCTAAATCACAGGCACCGTTTGCTACGCCCATCCGAATACGAGGCGCTTCGGCTCGCTATCGATAGCACGTGACTTTTCTTGCATCAATTCTTAATTGATGCAAGCAAAGTCACGTGCTATAATTTTTGAATAGTTTCATGGATTACTTAATAAAAGATTATACTATTTAACACAGCACAGATGCGAAGATTTAGTATTTCTAAGTTTTTCTATAATTATGCGCATGTAAGGGGCTAAGAAAAAAATCTTTTTGCTTCGGGATGGCTTGGTAAAATAAAGGTTAGAAAACCCTGCTTAATCAATAAAGTGATGATTTTGTTAAACGTTTTCTTATAATTACCTACCTATTAGGTTTAATACAAGTAAGTATCAAAATAGTGTCAAATCCTATTGACCCCAAACAAAACACACCTTTCACTGACTTCATTAAGTTTCGGTACTTAGACTTCAAAGATACATAAATAAAGATTAAAACGGAAATTGTCTTCAAATTGTGCATCCAAGTTCCTTGATTCCACAACATTGCAAAGTTTTAATAACAACTTGCGTCAAGATGACTCCCTTTATAGGCGTTTACGAGGCGCAAACGACGATCAACGACCCATAGATCAAGCAATTCTGGCCAAAGAATCTGGAGTAAAAGCACTCGATGTTTCAAACTTTTAGCGACTGTGTCGCGGAACGTCGGCTTTCGTAAGCCTTTCTTGGCAACTGGGAACAACAGCGGGCCCTAAAGTGACCCTTGAGGCACTCCCTTCGAGATTTGTCGCTTTTAGTGTCACGTACAATGTTTCGGTTCGGAGGTATTGTCTTGATCGCGAGTGCCGATGACATGCGCTAAGTGTTTCTCCAGAAGTTTCTTGGAAATAATTTATTGGGAGGGCTGAGAGTGTTGGTACTCTTTTGCTTTTTTGACGGAATATCAGCACGTCGTGTTAGTTAATCAACAAAATTCTTCTGAATTATTTTTCTTACAGGATTATGAAAGGGAAATATTGTTTTGTTACTAAATAGATATTTTGCTATTATGTTATAGCATATTATAAGTATAGTTAACTGGTATTAAAATCTCACTGATGAGGTTTTATGTTAGTCCCGAGAGAACGTTTTATTAGCCGAAACTAACTTAATCAGAAGAAAATAGGAGGGGTCCGAATCCCATAAATTGACTTGTACTTTATCGGTGATGCGGTAAGATTTAACCTACTACCTACTACTAAGCCTACCTACTCAAAATAAAACTACCACTTAGTTGACCTGTAACATTAATTTGTAAGAAGCTATCTAAGTACGTACTATGAAAACGCTCCAAAGGGAGTATAAAACGAAATGACGTCGCATCTTTTAATATTAAACTACTAGAAGCTGCATTACCTTTAAGAATGTTGTTTACGGCAGCTTTTAGTGGAATAAGTGCTGCTTAAAATGCCACGGGAACTACCTAATTACTATGTTTCATAGCAGTTATTAAAAGGTTACTTTAAAAGAGAAATTTTAGTGTTAAAGTGCACCATGTCTGAACAATTAAAAGTTAAATTGAAGCAATTAAGGTTTAAGAAAGTGAAAGTGTTAATGTCACCATTAAGGTTATAATATGTTTACATGATTATAATTATAGTAATTTATTTATTTATTTATTTATTGATGTAATTTGCATGATAACATAGTTCTCCGGTTATTATCTGAAAATATAAATATAAGTAGTTATACCTATTAAGATTTTTTTCCCGTTTGACGTAGTTCAGTTAGCGGGGAAAATGACCTCTGATAATATCATTGGCGAACTTTACAAAACGTCGATAAGATTTTTCGAGGACGTCTGCACTGTTACTGTTAATGACAAGCTTCATAGGACTCTTCTTATAGCTGAGCAAAATTTATTGAAAAAGATACACCAACGACAATAATAACTTTACATATAGCAAATCTGACATACCTCGATGATTTCAATGTTGTTATAGTTGGCGATGATAAAATTCTTGTTATCGTTAGCTTAGCTATGTTAGCTTGGCGCTATCAAATGAGCCAATCTTTTTACAGATTCTGATAAACAAGCTTCGATGACTTTGTCAAAGATTATACAGCTAAACTTACTGTTCTTATCGAGGATAGCAGCGTTATTGTTGTTGGTGATGACCAGCTTCTTGGTGGGCTTCTTGACGCGGCTGAGCACGTCAGAAAGGCTGATCTTGATAGGCTGTGGCTTCTCAGTCACTTCGATGACCACGCTGGCAGCTACTGATGCCCAGTCGACGTCCTTAGCGTCTTTTCCACGGGAAATGCCTCGGAGCTCCTCTCTGGGGAAGGTGAAGAAATAGAATTAGGTTCCACCATTGCAGGACACATTAGCAACGAGATCATTATTATCAAATCACTTTCGCCCGTATTCACAAATATTACTATGAGGTCTCACAGTGTGCGAGGACGCACAGGGTCACACTCGAACCAATCACATAGCTCTATTCAACGCTATGCGTTCGATTTCATAAGTGCCACTTGTGGTCTAACTAAACTGAATAAATGATTTTGATTTTGATTTGCTGCTTCATTTAAGCAGGGCTTTAGTCTTCACTACACGAGGACCCTCAGAGGTAAATGCAGGAATTGGTCAATGTGAAATGTAGCCTGGTCAGGTGTGTAGAAGAAGCTTGATGTTTCTTCCTTAATCGCCTTTTACGACATCCACAGGAAGAATGGGTCCTATACTACTCTGATAGAAGCATACAGTGAACTTGACTTCAAGTGTTCTCACTACTTGAAACCTTATTTGACTAACATTTATAACAATCAGTTTATGTATAAGCATTTGTCTTACCTCATGGCTCCAATGAGCGGGTATTTGACATTTCCACCGCAGACGCCGCCGCTAAAGTCGTCCATGTCTACCGTCCACACCATAGCACCTCCGAAGCTGTTGTCTTTGATCCATCTGTGAAATTTATGCACTTTTAATAAGTTGAATTAAAACTAGAAAGTAGAGCTCATAATCTCTAGCTATATGCCACGAGAGTAGCAGAGTAACATGATTTAATAGTACAGTGTCTCGACTGTCCAAGAAATACGAATCTCCATTGCTAGGTTTGTAATTTGAAGTGCGAAATACAGCATTAATAACTTCATAGCGCGAGTAACTAAAACTCACAGCAATAGTTTCAAGTAAATATTATCTCTAAGTTTGACGAGCAATAAGCTCTGAATTCAATCCGTTGCTATTGCTAGTAGAATTTTAGTAGGAGCCTCACGTGGCAAATTACTTTTAATTTAAATAGTATCATGACGTAATTAAATACAAACCTCATCTTGTTCCTGATGGACTTTTCGTCGTCGAAACCGACCCACTGGTCGCCGTGGATGGCGTACGGCACCTTCATTTCGTCGTCCCACACGTAAGCCCCACCGTTGCGAAGAATCTCACACACCTTGGGAAATTAATACAACATTATAATAGGTGACTATGATTTCTATGTATCATCATCATCATCATCAAAAAAGATCAATTTTACATTAACTAACCCGATGAGAGTCCAGTATTTGAAATAAAGGTGTAAAGTAGAAAAGAAATAGTAAGTAGTAAAATCTATATACATATATAAAACATAAGGTGACTGACTGATTGACTGACTGACTGACATAGTGATCTATCAACGCACAGCTCAAACCACTGGACGGATCGGGCTGAAAGAAGAACGGTCATCTGTGACCCAGGCCCGACAGAAACGAGACATACCTCAGTTTTTTGTCATGTCTTAATTAGTTAAATTATATATTTTTTATATTCGAAATCTATGTATAACAACAAAATATTACCCTTTGTTTTTGTTCAGGCGTTATACAAAAACTAATACAAAATGCCTATTTATCACTAAAATTGGTAAATGTATGTACCTAAATGTCTATTACAGCTGCTATTGAATGTATCTAGGTGACCTGGAGATACAGCCTGGATTATACAGGGTGGAAACGAGAAGTTACAAAATCCAAAAATTCAATGTTACCAGCTTCCATAATCTGTAACCTATTATTGGTACCATTTGAAAGAGCTCGTGAAGCACTTTCAGAATCAGTAACTAGTTTTTCGATATCTTGTATAGTTTAGAAATAATCGAGTGAGATCACTTATCGTTCCATGTTTTTGAATTCCTCAAAATGTCACCACATCAAATTCACCAGAAAACGCAATAAGCTATCCACTGAGTACACAATTGCAGGTGATAAGCTCGAAGAAGTTAAAACTATTAGGGATCTTGGAGTTGTAATGGATAGCCAGTTGCGATTCACGGAACACATTGACAAAATAATTAAGGAAGCAAATAAATCTCTCGGCTTCATACTAAGAAGTACAAAGGGTTTTAGAAGGCGTTCTACAGTCATCCTGCTCTATAATAGCTACGTTAGGAGTAAGCTTGAATACTGCAGCACGGTTTGGTGTCCAGGATATAATGTGCATATCAATAGGATTGAAAGAATTCAAAAGAAACTGATCCGCAGTCTGTCTTATCGTTTCAGGATGCCGAGAACAATTAAGGCCTACCCAGATAAAGCAAAGTATTTTGGTTTGGATCCGCTTTCTGTGAGACGTGTATATATGGATATGACCTACCTCCATAAATTGGTGAACAACCACATTGATAGTCCTGTCTTGCTGGGTCAGCTTGCCTATAACGTGCCCTTGAGAATACCACGTTACCCTTGTGGATTGTTCAGAAATAGATTTTGTAGGACGAGGATGGGTCGCAATTCACCAATTGTTCGTGTATCTCGTTTGTACAATGATCTCAGCAAGAAGTTGCCAGAACTTGATATAAATTTTCAAAGCCTCGCTGGTTTCTTAAAAACAATTAAGACGGGTGACGTGCCCCTGGTGGCATGCATCTAGGAGGCCTCTTATTATTTTATTTTTTTATTTTTTTGTTGCTTTCTTTTTGTTATTTAAATTCAAAGTTGTAATTAGGTACCTACTATATTATGTTATTGTATTGTGTAAAGTTCACGGGTTGCTTACATTATAATATTATGCATGCTGTGGTTATCGTTTGTGTGGGAGCAGTTAGCTAGAGACCTTTGGCTTAATTTTGTTTTTTTAATTGTGTATAATACTGTGTCTCATGTTGATAGCCCAATAAAATAAATAAATAAATAAATAAATCATGTAGATGACGTATGTTTTTTTTAAAAGAACTTTCTTACAATAAGCTTGCAATGCCCTACAAGAATAATAAAAGTAAGTTGTGAAAGACACACCTAACTCGTTACTCCGTGTGGATATTACAATCTATATAAATAAAAATGAATTGCTGTTCGTTAGTCTGATTAAAACTCGAAAACGGCTGGGCCGATTGAGCTGATTTTGGTTTTAAAATGTTTGTCGTAGTCCAGGGTAGGTCTAAACGGTGAGCAAATAAGGAAAAATTGCGATGGCTTATTTATTGCCTTTAAGGCGGAACAGAGTTCGCCGGGTCAGCTAGTTTGAAATATATTTCTTACTCTTCGTAAACCTACGTTATGAGTCGCACAAATTGCTGCACCATGTTATGAAATAGCTTGGATGTTATCTTTTAGTTCCAGTATTTTCCTTTCCACTATGTTTTAAATTGAAGTGCCGTATAAATGTTATTTATTCAGGTTGCTTTGAAAATAAGATACGCCTCTTCGTGTAGAGATTCTTGATTATGATGAAAAGATACCTGCTCAAAATATGTGAAGCTATGTATGATAGCTTTTGCCCGCGGCTTCACCCGCGTGAAATTTCGTTTGGCACAGATCGTCATAACTTATAGCCTATATGTTATTCTGGGTTATAAACAATTACGTAAAGTTTCAACAATATCCGATCAGTAGTTTTTACGTGAAAGAGTAACAAAAATCCAGACATCCAGACATAATGACATCCAAACTTTCGCCTTTATAATACTAGTAGGATATAACTTGTGGTATGTACAGTCAGCGTCAAATACTTCGTGACATCCAAAGTAGCCAAAAAGTTCGCTACACGTCTTTGTGACCATTGGAATAAGGTTGTGTTGTCTTTTGGCCACTTTGGGTGTCACGAACTATTTGACGCTGACTGTACAACAAAAGTACCTATACATTTAAAGCTGAAATTCACACCTAAGGCGTTATAATAAAACTACATAAGTCAGTCAGTTAAATTCACATCGAGGCCGCAGGTAAAAGCGCTTAACTGAAATATAAATACCCAATTTGAAACTTAATTTGAAAGTAATGTAGCGTCCGTGTTAACAGCCTCTTGCTACAGACAAAACGTGGTATCTAATACGATGATTTTGCAATTATCTTGCGCTATGTATAGTTAAAACTACTTTTGCTTGAGTGAAATCAAATTTTAGATACTAAACTAATTCTTACTTAACACTCTATCTAGGTAAGATATTTCAACCATTAGATTAAATTGAAAAAGAAATTACTTTTACAACAACTGTTTGCTACAATTTATGGGTATAGATTTATTTATTTAAAGTTTCCCCTTACTACATAAAAGGATCGGGGAACTTAAAACCATTAGGCATTCTTTGAGAGTTAATCCTAAAGAATAAGCAGCAAAGATTCGTTTGGCTTTGCTATTGTTTAGAAAGTATTTTTTATGCAGAACAAAGCAGGTATTTGTCTCATTCATCACACATAATGTTAAATGAGACGTAGTCTAGGAAGGTACATACCTGCCCTATCTGTTAGTGCCCAATTTCGCCTTAAAGAGGTTCGGATTATAGTCCTACTCTAAATGGCAGAATAGTTCTGTCCAACTACATCTATCCAATTCGTTTTGTTTCTAAAAGATTCAAGTGAAGTATTTGGTAAGTAGGTACCTAAGACCCGTATTCACTTCGCAAATCGAACGCACAGCGTTGAATCTCTGTTCAACGCTATGCGTTAATTTCGTCCACGCGCACTGCGAGACCTCATAGTAATGTTTGTGAATACGGGCGTGTGATTGGTTCGTGTGCGACCCTGTGGCTCCACTTGCACTGTGAGACCTCATAGTAATGTTTGTGAATACGGGCGTGTGATTGGTTCGTGTGCGACCCTGTGGCTCCACGCGCACTGTGAGACCTCATAGTAATGTTTGGGAATACGGGCGTATATTTTATTATAGGTACTGTTCGGCATTGCCTTTGCCCGCGTCGCTAATGCCTTGATCATACGTACCGAGCAAACGGGCGAGACAGTGCTCTCGGCCGAGTACTCGGTGTGTATGAACATTACGCCGAGTGCTCGGCCGAGCGCTCGAGTATGTGACTCGCTCACCCAACTGTCTCGACCGAGTAAACATTTTACTGTCTCGCCCGATTACTCGGTACGTGTGATCAAGACTTAAGTGTCGCAATGCGTCGCACGCGGCTGCGGCGCGGTGCGGTCCCAGCTTCCGGAGATACGCGCACATACGGATTTATTGCTCGCTGATCGACGGCCGAAGGGCTGATTTGTAGCTGGCGACTTTTTAGGTACTGCCGTATTTTATTTGATGCCGTCGTGTATAAAAGATAAATGTGTAGCGTTTAGATGCAAAAGGTAACTGCGATCTTTTTTTATCCATAAAAAGTGTGCATTTAATTTACGGTCTTCATTTGTTTTTTGTCAAAGTATGTAAACGTGAAACAGTCGTACTTTATCATCATAAACTGAGCAGTTAGGGAAGGTGTCTATGTACACGCTTTAAGTGAACAGCTCGATTAACGGAGAGCTATATTTTATAAACAACGTAACTGAATTTCAGTTGCTGCAGTAACGCAAAGTTTAGACACTTATTAACCGCCGGCAGAAAAAGGGAGCGCTATTTTTTCCAAAATATGCATCGTATGATTATTTACATAATTCCGTAAATAATTGTTGACATTTTTGCTATTTGGTGTCTTTCAAAGTTGTCTTAGATTCATGTTCCACTTACCTACCTTCGCAAACTCTACCATCTTAAGTAAAACTTACCAATGATAAGCTTCTCCTTAGGGGCGCCCAATTTGACCCACAGGTGGGCGGCGTGGTCCACCGACAGCTGCTTCCTCCACTCGGAGTCGGACGAGGGGGCATACAGGGGGGCATTGTGACCCGTCTCCCTCTCCCATTTGCCGTGGAAGTCGTACGCCATCAAGTTGATGAAGTCCAGATAACTGGTGAAGAGAGAAAGCAGTTGAAGTAACGTCCATAAGAAAAATAATGTGATACCCAAAGCGACCAAAAAGTTGATAATACAACCTTATTCCATATTACAAAACATGTTTTACGAACTTATTTATTACTTTGGGTGTCACGAACTATTTAAGGCTAACTGTACGATACAAACTTGCAAGGATTTATAAAGTTTTACATCCTTTTATGGGTCACAGAAAGGTTGACCCATTAATCGATTGTATTAATCCTGGCCTTGATGTATTCTAATTAAAGATTGGTCTACCAGTTCTGCCACCAATGGAGTTCTTTTGTTTCTATAGTGACGACATAATTGCTGATGACGTAGTATGCAGTATGTAAGTAGAGCAAATCTAGTGACCTAAGTATTCCATGGTTTCCTAAGTATGACCCTAGAAAAACGTAATAAATGAGTGTAATTTTGAAGCCTTGACTCTGTTGCATTATGAAATCAGTCGCATAATGATTTAAATTATTAAAACATACCGTGACATATAGTTTTGTTTATTAGAGCAAGGTCCAACTTATGTTGAATGTCAAAGATGAAAATTTACAATATCAAGTTACTGACTGCGTATTTCACACCGAACCCTCGCTTTGCGCCAAAAAGTTGGAATAATATTTTTGTCACCTCCGAGTGACTGACGACTCAAACTTTGGCCTTTGCGTTGAATGGAGTTAAGTTTGAAGGCCACCATTAATCAGCGAGGTGTAGCTTGTGAATTTATTGAACTCACTTTTTTCAAGAAACAATGGCAACTTTCATAGAACGGTTCGTTGGGATGAGAACACACAGGTGAAGATAGATTTGAAAGTGTGGTGTACAATCGGCTGTATGTCAAATCTCTCAACTTTTTACTGCTGTCATAGAGCAGTGACAATGTCTTAATTTATCAGAACGTGCTTGTTTAGAAAATTAACGCAATTTAATTTTAACCGGCTTTCAAAGGAGGCTTGCGCTACCTAGTCTGATTTTATAAGCCGTAACAAATAAGACCTGAAAATACAGATCCTCTAAGCAATGTTAATAGTTTAAATATAAACAGTATTTTACTGCTATACTGTGTGTATGAAAATAATTTAATTTTGTAAATTGTTTATTCAGAACAACAAACTATTACATAAATTACTTATTAGTAATTATAAATTATAATGAAAAGAATTATAAATAAAAGTTCCCAAAGATCGATAAATAAAAAATAAATTACTAACAGGCTTTTATTGTTAGTCTGAATTTACTGTTATAGATGTACTTTATAGATAGAGTTTTCCGTCATAAAACATTTTTCCTTACTTGTATAGTATAATGTTTTAATTGAACTAAATACCTTTCCAATATTGAAGCCCTATTAAATTAATCTAATCCCTAATTAAATTACACGTAGCGGTTTGCGGTTAACCAACAATGTGCATAGCTCTTTATGCATCAAGTTCGACAATAACTCCGCTTTGAATGGACAACTTGCCTCTATAGCTATTTTACTGGCAACTTCACACGTCGAGTTAGATGAGCACTGCAAAGTTATTGAAACCGCTTGACTGCACTCGGTTTCTAAACTCTTATTCAACTAGAAATAAAGCTCAGTTTTGTTTGAAGGTTATGACGGCCAGCGTATTGTGTTTCGTATTGTATTTCGCCTGGAGAATGTATGGTTTGAACTAGCTTGAATATTAACTAGAGAAAATTTCGCAATGTCGTTTGGTGCGACAATATTTTTTGTTTGCCCGTGAATAATTTATTTGGGTCAGCATTTAAATAGAAATGCGTTATGGGCTTGCTTTTGCGATGGTTTTTTGTTATGCTGTTATGATATAATTTCGTCGGGTCACTGAGGTCGTAGAGTAGAGCGATTCATTTTCGCTATTTATAGTCGATCGATCTGCCACAAAATTCCCAATTCATCATCATCATCATCATTTCAGCCATAGGACGTCCACTGCTGAACATAGGTCTCCCCCAATAATTTCCATGTTGATCGATTGGTAGCGGCCTGCGTTCAGCGACTTCCTGCTACCTTTATGATAACGTCGGTGCACCTTGTTGGTGGACGTCCCCATTTCCAATTGATTTGATTTAAAGACGCATCATTTTTTCCGTTGAGAAATGTTTTGCACATACGTTAAGTGGGACTTTCTTCGCCTTAAAAACGGGACCTATTAGTACCCCCTGAAATTTTAAGGTGTCCTCCGGAGCCAATGAAACTGAGCCGCGAGTTATTGTCGTATCCTTATTACACCAAGTTGTTAAACCATTCACTCATCTGGAAATGGAAAACAAGGTGTGGATTCCCCAGTTTTTCATACCTACGGTAGGCACGTCATTAGCATATCTGGAAATGTAATACAAAGTATGGGTGCTCCAGTTTTTTTGACATACCTGGCTACTGCAGGCACGTCGTATCCACTCTTGATGTTGTCAGGGCCCACAGGCACGGCAGCAGTGAGCAGCAGACGAGGTTTCTTCACTTCTTGGGCTTCTGCTTCGAATGCTTCTCTCAGTTCTGTAACAAAGACAGAAGTTTATGAGTATCGTAGGATCATAGATTGGGTTTTTATTGGCGGTCAAGCTGTAGATCGTGGCTACACAGGAGTTGCAGCGGTGGGAACGAGAGGTGGGAATAGTCCTGTAATGTAGGATAATTCGTATTTTCATTATGACGCTTATAAAATTGGCTGTGTTATTTAGAAGTCGGATTTAATGATCACAACTTTTAAAAAAATCGAGGCAACTTAATGCAAATAACAAAAGAAGTAGAATATATTCATTTGTGGAAATATCGTGTCATTTTGATAGATTAAAAATATTATTATGATGTCGTTTCATTTAGATTTAATGAAAAATGATCTTATCTCGATTATAGCTACATTTTCCAAAAGCTTTGGCTACTGCAAATAAAAATAAACAACAAAAGTTACAACCCAAAAACAATAGTGAAGTCAAAGTAATTAACAAAACAAGGTCGCTGCAGAAATTCGTTGGTTTGTTGTCGGGGTCATAAATAACGCTAACTATGATTTATAACGCGAAGCATTCCATTATCACGGTGAGGTTACAGGAGTGTAGCAGTGTGAATATGGGTCGTCTTGAAACATAATGTTATTGACGGCCTGTTGGTGTACTATAATACATTAGGTTTGATTATTGTAAGGCTAGGATGCGCGCCGCGATAAGCGGTTATCATATTGTCATTTTATCAATTTTGGCAATAAATTTTGACGTCGATAAAGTAGGTATATCATTGCGCGCATCCTAGCCCGACTGGTGAGGTCAGTTAAAGAGGGCCTTTTTGTTTATTTGTCTGGTTCACGCACGAATAAGTAAACTGGTAGTTGGTCAGTTGCGATATGTAACAATCTATCAATGCTAAATTCATTTTAGATTGACGGAATTTTAGAGACTTCAAAACACTAATCACTGATTCCAAATTACAACTGTAATTACTTATGTTATCGTTAAGATTATCTGTATGGAGCTCTAGTATCTTAGATCACGCTTTTGACTAGGTTATTTACAGAAGTATTATAAAATAAAACATCAGCTATAAACCATTGTTACCTTGCAAAACACACTCAAACTAGAAAAGAGACGGTAAAACATCCTCGACCTTTACCTGCCTTTCAAGCTTTGACTTTGATCGCGGACTATCTAGATTTATAGACCATTCATAGGATGTACATCCTGCAGGTACCAAAATAAAATTTTGCATACCTGTTTGGTGTGAAGTTAGATTGTGGTCCAACAAAAAGGTTACACCTTTAGCATTTTGCCATATTTGGTCAACCTATGATTAGAATTGTAGAGTTCATAATTTTACTCATAATAATAGATAAGTCAGTTAAATTGTTAATTTATCAGATTTTGTACTGCTTATTCCAAATTATGTCAGTTAGTTAGTTTCAATATTTTCCGAATTGTGTATGTAGGGAATAGTTCAGTAATAATCATAACTTTGATTTTATTATTGACCTTAAAACAGAATTATATTAATTCCCTTTCTTAATTAATATAGACAGATAAATAATTACAATGTCTGCATATAACGTTATGGAGGAACATGCCTAATTTAAAATGATTGACGATCTTTCGCAACGGAATCCACGTCCCGACTAGCGAAATAGCTGACGATTTTCATAATCGATTACCTGTTAGTCGATTAACCAAATATTCAAATCGCTGCATCCGAGAGAGGTATTTTCGAAAGGAGGTTCGGATGGCATTACTGTCGCAAGGACAATGTCTGGGATGCATTGACTGCGGTAAAGTGCAGCCGACTAGTCACTGGTGACGTTAATTTATTACTTGACTAGTTGTGAGTTGTGAGGTCTTCAAATAATTAAGTTTGTTCAAAATATTTCGGTTGTTGTGGAAATCCTTGGACCTCTTCCAAGGCCGCCGTCCTACTGGATAAAGGAAGACGACTTCCTCTTCCTTTATCCAGTAGGACGTCATTTTGCTGAAGCTATCGTCAGTTTCAGCAAAATTACGTTCAAAATATGAAATAGTGACAGTCAATATTTTCACCAACACCGACGAACAGTCGAACTTCACTTCAACTACTAAGGCTGAGTTACACCATCATACTGTAACCGTCACTATAATAATAACCGGTGATATTTGTATTGAGATTGAAAGATTTTTGACGTTTATTTAAGTTAAGTAAAATGGTGCAACTCGGCCTTAATTACAACATCCTCCAAAGTACGCTATGGAGCCTAATCCATGGTAATTGTCTACTTAATAAAGATTTTAGAGTAGCATAAATATAAAAATACGACGACAATACATCTAGCTAAACACAAAGGCGTGTTATCTAGTTGTGATACAAAGTATTTTGTAACAAAAATGTATAGTATCATGGGCTGTGTGTGACTGTACCTTAGTAATTGAAAGCCTCAAACAAGTAGGCTTACGTATTCTAGTAATAATAATGTTCTCGATCAGGCTAAGAATCGTCTGGTATGCCCCCAGTCGCCGTTCATCGGAAATATGCAAGTACTTTCAGAATGCAATCAGCTGGTCCGACCACTAAATACCAGTTTGGCAACCAACCGTTTGTAATAATAATAATATGGCCATGTCAGTCTGTACAAATACCTAATGTGACATAAGTGCTTTAGGAAATGAAAGGATATAATGAATATAATTGTCTCAGCGATTTCGTAACGCAAATNAAAATCTCTTCGGATGCAGCGACGAAGTATAATGAGGTAGTGTTGAAGTAAATTGTTTACGTAAGTTAACACTTTTGTAAAAAGAGAAAATTCAATTACTTTTAACAGATCTTTTAGAAAAGTAAGTGACTAATTGAATGTTATAGAACATTGCGAATAAGTGGCACTCAATGTTTTGTCCATATTAGCAGCTACGAGTACTTATGTCATTTAATTCATCGTAGGCAAATAAGTACCTGCATATAATGATAATTTTCTTAACCTTTTATGGTTACCTGATAATTACTAATCACCTCCAAATCTGTAACTTATGACTATCTCAACTGTACCCTTAAATATGTAAAACCTTAAAATGTGTAAACCTCTCTATAATAAACAGATAGGTCCCGAAATAAAATATTACATAAACCTTCTCTACCATACGCATTGAAGCGATGCCGATGGGGGCATTACTCGTAAAACTGTTTTTATATTGGCTTCACTATATTCGTCATTCATACCAGCACCCCGGGGTAAGTGAAAGAGACAGATTATAGTATAATATATCAAAATATTTTGCCGAGTCACCGAATTCCATTACCTACGCTTGTTTCTGCAAAATTCATCGCAGCTGCTTCTATTTCGCGATTTTCACATCGTTTTCTATATTTACATCAAGAGTCTTCGTTAAAACGAGATCACACAATGCAGCTGAAATGTTTTTCATAAATAAACCTCATTTACATTCCTTTCTTTCAACTGTTTCAGGTTTCAGTTATGAACCCGCTACAACATGTAAATGTACAGAGAATGTGTTTATGCAAAACTTTTAGTCTCACCACGCTGTTCTCCAACCCTTTTATATAAACACTTATTGAAAATTGAAAAAGGTTTCACCGGTTTTCTTGTACACCTTCATGTAATACAGGGTGATTGAACGAGTTACGCAATTTCACAGTGATAAAAAAGGAGAGAAAGTGTCACAACACCTCATTTCTTGTACAAGTGCTAGTTGTGTCAAGAATAATAATACGATTACGATTATGTATTATATAAAAATAAAGACGATGCGATATGATTGTTAATTGACATTACAATAGCGTAGGCGAGTACAATACTGAGCAAGCATTAAGAGGCGATCATCCACCCGACAGATAATGCGGTAATATTTTATAATTAAGTACTACTAGATTTTAAAAAGTTGACAGGATATCAGACGTGCACTTTTGTTTGCTTGAATAATTTGTCAAATTACTTACTAACTTTAACAAACATCAAAAATCTGCCAGATTCCATACGAAAAATACCGGTTATCGTTGTATCTTTTTTGTAGTTACGGTCAAAGTTAGGAGGTGCAACTCAGCACAAGGGTCACAAAAACATTAGGCAATTAATAAATCTAGTTAATAAAGTTACACATTTATCATATTAATTACATCTGTCTTAGTACACAACTGCACAGGTAGGACAGTGATTCAAAGCGACGACCCTTTGATAAATACGAACGTGTTTGGAAGCGTATTTCCAAATTGGCAAATGCATAGAGACCAAGCTCATGCACACCTTTGACAGCGTTGTTCACGGTTGGCATAATGCAGTCCAAAGAGACGCGCAAATTGAATTCCTGTTACTTCGCACTGTGACTTTGGAACGTGATAAAATATAGGGTGTGTTTCAGGTGCGAATCTTGTGCGGGATATTTGAATTTTGCTACTTTTTACCTGTCTACGGTAAGGACGAGGGGTAATATTTTTAAAGTGACGACGACGTTGGTAACTGAAGGTATTTTTTATAATTTGTTAGGTGTTTCGTAAAAGGTTTAATTTTGATTAATAACTATACATTACATAAAAAATGTGTCGGTATCAATTAATGTTTAGTGTTGGGTAATACTAATTATTATTATTGTTTTTTGTACAATTTGTTAAGGTTATGAAAAGGGGCTTATCAATTTGATTCCATCGATATATTGATTGATCTACAACATTTTTTTTTGTACTTTAAAGATACATAATCCCTACTACCATTTTTGTATTCTTCTCTACTGGCTTATATTTTCCTACCTCCTAGAATACTGTCTTATGTCCTGAATATATACCAATCAATACTATCTTATATTCCATTTAGCCACCATAATTTTATCATTACACAGCCTTTGAAATCATAGAAATCGAATGCCGCATAGGAAAATGAAATATGAATGCTGTGCACCGACTGCAATCCTTTGACCACAGTACGTGAGGGGAAACAGTAAGTCTACTTACATATTGAACACTGTAATAATACACGCTGCGAACGCGTTATGAATTATGTTCAGCAGCCGTAAAGAATGCAGTAAGCATGATTTTTA